TTTTTTCTTGCCCCCCCGACTCAAGAGTCAAATGTCGCCCATGTATATACCTATATTTATTTTTATATATAATATATATAATACATACATACATACCTACCTACACTAGGGCTGTGCGATATTGAATAAAAATGCGATATGCGATACCTTGTTAAAAATGCAATATTCGATATGCGATACGATATTGCTTAAAGTGTATAAAATCAATTTCAATTATAATTTTAAAATATTTAAAAATGAAAATTATATAACCAATTTGTTTCACATTCTTTTTTGGAAAATAAAGAATCACTACAACTTCTGAAAGTGACCAGCAGTGTTTTAGCATTACTTAAAAAGTAATGTCACAAATCAGAAAATGTAAAAAAAAAATGTATATCATTGTAACTTTGCTTTCCACACACTTTAAGTACTTCTTCATAAAGCACAGCAAAAACTATAGTCTGAGAAAGTTCAAACATGATTAAAGGCAAGTGAACAGTCAGTAAAAAAAAAAGAAAGAAAAAGGAAAAAAAGAAATACACAATTTACAAGCATAGATAATATAAACAGTAGTATTCAGGTACAGAAATGTAATAATTAAGTGTAAAATAACACTGCATAGTGTTCACGGTATGAATTCAATTTAGAGTAAGCTGTTTTGTTTGATTAACATTAGTGACATATTCAGCAGCATGTCCCTTTAAATCCGACTGCACGGATCCAGTATAATGATACACATCCGATTTCTTTCTCAGCTGTTTACATTCATTTAAAACGTAACTGACTGCGTTTACGAGAATGTTCGTCGAGACGGGTACTATTGACACAATTGTGCGAAAGACGAATCAACTCGGTCTGAAATGCGTCTCTCTGTGTGCGCGTGCTTTGCACGTGTGCGGCAGAACCGAAGGGACGATGTGCGAGAGCTTCAGGTGTGAGTCAGACAGCAAGACGAGACGGCAAAGAGTAAAGACTCTTTTTAACGTCAAGCAATTCTCTGCTATATGCATCAAACTAAAACGTTGACCTTTTGCAACGTTTTGATTTAAGTAGCCTATTATTAAAATGATTCAGATATCGCACGCCCTTGTGATATGCATATTGCGATATTTACATTTGCGATATTTCGATATCTCGTGCAGCCCTACTACCTACATGCATACATACATACATACATAAACCAAACTTTTAAATGGTAGTGTATATTGAATAGTTTATCTCAGCAGATTGAAATATGAGGGGATATATAATAAGATATACTGCCTTAGAAATCCAGCACTGTGTTCATCTGAAATTAAAAGCATGTGTTCATTTAGCATTAATAAGATACAGTAAGAGAGAGATACTCACAGTTCAGTGGTAATATATGTTCAGCTACTGGATGGTGAAAGTTGAGACCCATGCGACCTACAAAGAGATGAGAAAAACAAGCCATGAGAGTTATGAAACCATTGAGACATCTGACATACTGTAAACCAGTTTATTACCCTTTTACGCAATATTAGAGTTTAATTCACTAAACTGACATGAAAGGCCTCAAAAAACAATATTTTTAACCAATTCACCTGGAAGACTATTAATTTTAAATGCCTATTTCTGCTTTTTTGTGAATGTTTAGGAGTGCAGATGAATTTTAGCATACAGACTGCTTTAAAGCTTTCAGACTAAAAGTAACAAAACTACGGTTTTAGACGAAAAATGCAAAGCGTACTTGCATTGTATTATGAATTGTGCTGTAACTCATTTCAAAATGTTAATATAGTGTGCTTAAAGTTAAATTATAATGAAACACTTGCATTCGGATTTTCAGATTAATAAACATCTATTTATGAATTGTTTTTTTAATGAGGACATATCCCCAAAGGATTTGTCGAACACCTAGGCACCTGCCAAGTAAACACACACATGGGTTCTCTGTAACTACATGAAGAGTTAATTTGCATGGCCGTAAAACAGCTGTTGATTTATTTTCAGAGTCAGAGCTCTAATGTGCCTGCATTAGCAGTTTTGATTACAAATGACAGCAAAGCTCCTGTGGGCTTCCAGAGAACGCTGTAAGCAAGCCTCGACGGGCTCTTACGCAAATTCTGAACCGTTGCAAGTCACATTTGCAAAGTTCTTCCCCACAGCGCACCGAGAATACCAGAGATGCTCTGCCCTTCAGTGGTTCAACCAATGGCAAACAATGGCAAGCGATGAGAAATTTGCACTACGTGGTACGGTTTCAACAGGTATTTGGCTCTGTGAGGTTGTAAGACGTACAGGGCAAATGTTTCCCAGCTTGCATGTGTTGTTCGGACTAGTGTGTTGTGCTATATATAGTGTCTCTGGTGAGAACCATCAGCTGTGCTGGGAGCACATCCTTCATATTTGGACTATTTTCTCAATAATTCAAATCAAATCAGCTCAACCGCCAGCACATGTGCCAATGATAGCCAATGCACACTAATAAAAAGGTGTAAAGTTGATTCTAAATGAACGGCACATCACGATTTGATCATAAAGCATCAACACCTTTGATCACCCCGTGATTCATCTCATCAACAGCACAATGCCCTTTATAGAAAGCCTACGCTTCAAATACATAGTCATTTGTTCAGAATGACTCAGCAGTGACATTTAATTCAAACAATACTCACATACAATAAACAAAAAAACTGTTATTTGTAAGTATCTTCCTCTTGTTTTCCAGACTATAGAACTAAAGGTCCTAAAAACAAGATCGCATGTGCATTACCTAATGCATTGGGCAGAGACGTTTACCCAAAGCGTGTGGTCACATTTGCCAAAATTTTGTGGGGCAAAAATGTAAACTGTCTATTGCTAATTAGTGTAGTGATGTATGAAGCACAGCAACAACAGAAATCATTTCTAGACCGAGCAGCGAATTTGCTTGACCAAACTGAACCAATGGCAAAATCTGAAATTTCGTCTTGAAGAAATTTCTATTGAAACGACAGGATCTCACCTGTGAAATTTCGCAGAACAGCAGTAAACGTTCATTTAACAATCAACATATATACATTTTATGCATTGCTACAAGAAGTTGAATTTACCTGACAAACAAAAATCTATAAGATAATTTTTACGCAAATCATCTTGAATTTAAGTGCATGTTGTGTTTACATTCATTTAGGCATAAAATTAAATTTAGTCAATAATTTTGTTTTAAAGATATTTGGACTTTTGCTGGAATACAAAAGTAGTAACACGTAGTACTAAAATAAATGGACAAATACTTCCTTTCCAACATACATTTGGTTAAAACATTCAATGTGAGAGAATTTGCATGAGCAAATTTGAGGTCAAGCAGATAATGGGAGACACTTATTGAAATGTAAACTATAAATAAATGAGTACGGTTATAAACAAAGCCTCAACCTTAATGTTATTCAATATTGTTGCACTTTCTGTGGAATATTAAAGTGATGCATGTAAATATTTTAGAGTGGCTGTAATTCTGAGGCTGGTTTCACTTGTTTCAGACTTCAAGACAGCTGGAAGAGCCGGTGGTGAATACGTTTCTCTCCAGCACGTCTTTAACCAACTGCAGCTGTGGTTCTTCTGACCCAACAGTGACATAATGGACAGACTGAGTATCTCTGCCGGTTTGAACATTACCATTTCGTATAATATACAACCATCTTAAAATGGTAGCTGAAACATGTTCCAAGCTGGTTTACGGGGTTCACCAGATGAACTACCAAGTATAAAACCAGGGCACAACAGCTTAAAGTGGTCAAGCTGGTTTTGAGAGCTTTGTAGCTGTTTATTGCAAGATAGTCTACAAGCCCAGCCAGGTAATGGCAGTCTAGCTAGTCAATCACCTAAAAACCAGCTAATGACCAACTTGGACCTGTTGGAAACCAGTTACCATGCTCCCATCTTAATCTGGTTTTAGCTGGATTTGCCAGTATTCTCATGCAAGATGCACCTACTTTTAATGGAAGCCTACAGCTCACATTCAGTTAAGATTAACATCAGTATTCTTTTGACAGGGAAGAGACACCTCAAAAATAAAGCCGAACATATTCCCCAGACATTTCCTCACAAGGGTCTATGGTTATGCAAATCATGCATTTCCCTTTCCCCTCTCGCTGTTTGATCAGGCCTGAACTCTGGAAGCAAATGTCAGCGTCTTTCTAGTCTTGTTATGACAGATACACATAAGTCAACTTTTCCCCTGACACACCAGCTTAAAATAAAGGTTAGAATACAACATCTAAGGACTTGTAGCTTCAACAATGGGGCACAATTACAAAAGGGTTAAAGGAACACGCCACTATTTTTGAAAATAGGCTCATTTTCCAACTGCCCTAGAGTTAAACAGTTGAGTTTTACCGTTTTCTAATCCATTCAGCCGATCTCCAGGTCTGGCGGTAGCACTTTTAGCTGCAGCTTAGCATAGATCATTGTATGTGATTAGACCGTTAGCATCTCGTTCAAAAATGACCAAAGAGTTTCAATATTTTTCCTATTTGAAACTTGACTCTTCTGTAGTTACATCGTGTACGAAGACCGACGGAAACTGAAAAGTTGCGATTTTCTAGGCCGATATGGTTAGGAACTATACTCTCATTTCGGCTTAATAATCAAGGAACTTTGCTGCCGTACCATGGGTGCAGCAGGCGCAATGATATTACGCAGCGCCTGAAAATAGGCTTATTGGAAGTTACCTAGCTGGGGACATCTTAGTACACGATGTAACTACAGAAGAGTCAAGTTTTAAATAGGAAAAATATCTAAACTCTTTGGTCATTTTTGAGCGAGATGCTAATGGTCTAATCAGATTCAATGATCTATGCTAAGCTGCAGCTAAAGTGCTACCGCCAGACCCGGAGATCGGCTGAATGAATTAAAAAATGGTAAAACTCAACTGTTTAACTCTAGGAGAGTTGGAAAATTAGCCTATTTTCAAAAATAGTGGCATGTTCCTTTAAAGCTTGTGTCTCAAACCTTGTGGAATATATATTAAACACTTAATAGGTGATTGTCTTCAGAAACATTTTTTGTTATGCTGGTTGAAAGTCTCATCACATCCTGATAGCAATCATTAAGTTAAGTGGTCTAAATGTATTTATATACTCTGTGGAAGACGTAGGGCCAAGTAATGTTCGTCCAATCAAAACGCTCGGTTCGAGCGTTTTAATTGGCTTTTCTACCTGCCTGTCAACGTATGTATTAGCATACCTCTGCGCACCCGGTTTGCGCAGACATAATACGTCATCAGCACATTACGCACGTTGTGCAGACAGAGAGAGAATAGCAGGCAAACATCAACAACCCGATCTTCCTTCCTGGTATTGTAGTACTTTTAAAGTTTTCTCACCGGTGAATGACACATGATGTAGCCCAGCGGTTCCCAATTCCAGTCCTCGCGCCCCCCGCTCTGCATATTTTGCATGTCTCGCCTAGTTAACACACCCGATTCAGATAACCAGCTCATTAGAAGTGAGCTATGTGCATGAACTGTGTTCCGATCGATATGATCCCTACGCAGTGTTCATTGCTCCCTACTCCCTGAGCGGGGGAAATCCGTTGAAGTTTACTTCACTTCGGAACATTCATTCACGGATTTGCGCTGCGCAGTGTCTTCACACACAGACGAAACTTACTAGAGAAGTGTGACATAATATACCTCTGTAAATAAATACTATTTACTCCTGACTGTAATTGGGAACCGCTGATGTAGCCTATTGTAGTAATGCTGTCTCTGGTATTCTGGTCTGTGAGCGTATATACGTTCAGGGGAGTGGCTTCGGACGGTGATTGCAGGGAAGGTGGGACGTTCGCTTTCAGTGCTATCAGGCTAAAGTTAGCATTTTCCAAGATCTCCTACTGCACCTATAAACCTAATAAGAAAAATATTGGATCTGACAATGGTTTTAGTACAATTATGATGCAATGCATCATGAAATCTAAAATTTGGTCAATTTCATTTCAGAATTGTTCTGAAAATAGGTAAACTGCAATGTGAATTAAGAATTATATTATATTAAAACTAAGAAATTTCAATGGCAAATTTCTTTCATTAGTGATTCATATACATTTTGAGTTTCAACATTATTCCTCTTTAAATACGATAATCTGCTGTAGGCAAAGTGACCTACATTTGATTTTTGACCATTGAAAATGGGAAAAATCTAACAATTTGCACATGGAGCTGAATTGATCTCCATATCCCTGGTATTGAACTATATTGCATTTTGAAAGAAGAACTCTTAATGGTCAACATTATTAAATCCTGACAATTTCAAAGTCCCATGAAATTGGCTTTAAGAGCCGTCAGTACAAGCTTTTGCTGTGGAAAATCCGACTGAGATTGTAATGTCCTTGAAATTGTGCAACACTCACATCAACATTCACACACCTTGAGCTTCACACCACCCTAACAGGGCACCTTTAAGGAAAGACAAACAATGTTAAACTATTAATAGAAAAGACCCTACCGTGAAATGTGATGCACTGAGAATGGAAAAACTGCTGCGAACAATCTGAGACAAACAGATAAAGAGATAGTTCACCCAAAAATGAACATTCTGGCATCATTTACTCACCCATATGATTTTTAACGTGTGGTGTTTTTGTTGTCCATACAATGAAAGTCAGTGGGGTTTAATATTATTTTGGTCACCTTTGATATTTATTGTATGAACAGCTGAAACATTCTTCAAAATGTCTTCTTTTTTGTTGTATGTCATATGGTTTTGGAATGAACCAATTTTGGGTGAACTATTCCTTTTAATCTAGTCAAATGAATATGTTGGTAACAATTTACAATTAGGTTTCATTAGTTAACATTAGTTAATATGAACAATAACAATGGACAATTACTTCAACAGCATGTATTAATCTCAGTTACTGTTAATCTCAACATTTTTAACCAACTAAGTTATATCTGTTTGCTAATAAATGCACACTGTCAACTAACATGAGTGTGAACATTTTCATTAAACTAACATTATCAAAAGTTGATAAATTCTGTAAAACATATTGCTTATTGTTAGTTCATGTTAGTTAATGCATTAACTAATGTTAACAAATGAGACCTAGCTCCAAGTTATTTTTTAAATGCTTTTAAGGCATTTATTTTATTTTGACTTTGACTTTGTTCAATATAACTATAAATGCTGCTTAGTTTTCTTTCCTAAACATAAATAGATTGTCTTAATTGACAGCCCTGTTGAATACAAATTTATCAAAAATGATGCAGTTACATCACTAAACAATACTAATTATTTAAGCAAACGGAAAAACCTTCAGCATGAAGGCTGATCTTTTATTGTCCGAATACACGAGCTCAAATAAGAGTGACAGTTTGAAAAACGAGACATTTTGGCGTACGCTCTTTGTACATATTATCCTGGGCCTTCGATACGGGACGAGTTGAACTCTGAGACACTTTCATCAATGTCAACGTTCAAAGTCACACCAGCCTAGGCTTGACAAACATCTTGCATCATGATCTTAGCTACCATCTCAACTTTGGCCTACAGGGTCAAATTGAGCTCTGCCTGAACCCAGCGGACCTCAGCGACCCAGATTACAGGTCACCCTGTCAAGCGTTTCTTAGTTCTAACTGTAATGAGAGGAACCGGTTTGTACAGATGTATCCTCAAATATATTCCTCTCATCAGCTAGCTCAGTCTGATCATTATGGCTGAGTTATTGAGCATAATGAAATCAGACTGCCAAGTATCAGTCAAGCTCTGGAAGATTTTTCAAAACCTATGACGTGTAGGAAACAACCGATTTGGTTCAAAACTTTGGTCACAGTTACACAAGACAGATCATTTGAGATGGCCAAAAGAAATCTGTGTCCGTGCGCTTGCACAAAGGCATCTTTGTGACTGTGTGTGTGTGTTTGTGTCAATGTTGGGACCTCAGAAAGCGAATGAGACTGTGCTCGGATGCAGATTATTCTGTTCTGCATTTCAAAACACAATTTTTTTCTCCAAATTCAATTGGATTAATGTGGATTCAGAAGACAATCTATTCCCACAATGCAGCTCTTCACAGCTCTTCTCTCACCCAGATCTGGAAAAACAGCTCCACACCTGAGACGGGGCCCCTGATGTGGCTCTCCATGCATCCAGGCTAGCACATAAAAACAATTTCCCTCTCCTCCTGTTTTACACGTTTCCATTGTCTACAAGAGGAAAGCCATCTCTCGTGATATCCCATGAGACTCTAGTGTGATCATAAAACATCATCACATGAGAAAATTTCCCACAACTACTAAACTTTCCCTTCAGCAAATGGACTGTACAGAATCACTGAATACGGTTCCGTTCAAAATTCTGGAAGAATAAATGTAAAAACCCTAAAATACAAACAAATACATTTGACAAACATTTCTGTATATACAGTAGACAGTTGCATTTACATTAATTTACACTACTGTACTGTGTGGGGTTTTGTAACGTTTTTGAAAGAAGTTTCTTATGCTCACCAAAGCTTCATTTGTTTGATCAAAAATACAGTAATATTAAGAAATATGATTACAATTTAAAATAACTGTTTTCTGTTTGAATATAGTTTAATTTAATTTATTCCTGTGATGCAAAGCTGAATTTTCAGCATCATTACTCTAGTCCACAGTGTCACATGATCCTTAAAAAAATTATTCTAATATGCTGATTTGATGCTCAAGAAATATTTATTATTATTATCAATGTTGAAAACAGTTGTGCTGCTAAATATTTGAGCATTTATTCAAAAATTAAATCATTGTAAATGTATTTACTGTCAGTCTGATCAATTTCATGCATCCTTGCTCAACAAAAGTACTTCTTTAAAAAAATGTATTTAATGACCTCAGGCTTTTAAACAGTAGTGTGTATTATATTATTTAAAATATTTACACAATATTTTGCAACAGTTATTAATAAATAACAATTATTAAAAGCATGAATTAAAATATAGTGGCAGAAAAATACACCAAAATAAACAAATAACCATAATTGAAGCCAAGTGTTTTGAAAATTCTGAGGCCAAAAGAACATAGAAGCATGGATGTATAAATAGTCCTAACCTGCAAAATGATTCCTCCATATAATATCAGCGATAGTCATTGGTGGGCCAGCAGCAGGGTGATGTTTACCTTTGTCATGGTTTGTCCCAATCATATCCATTAAGGAATTCTCCAAAGTTTGCAAGTTGAATGGGTCAAAAGGGCGATTCCTTTCCTGAAAGACAGAAGGACTGGGTCAAAGGTCAGAAGTTAAAGATGAGTCACTCCACCACCATTTCACAGTCTTTCAAATTAGACTCTCACAAACTGGATGCCAGAAATGGTTTTTAATGTCTTCTACATGTTTTCACTGTTCAGTAGCAATTTTATGAACATATTCAAGTGCTGAACAGCAACATTCTACACTTATTTTGACCAGGAACCACCCAAATAGACGATAAGAAACTGCCTGACTGATATGTAAAGTGAACAACTACAGTTTTTGTTTTTACACGTCATTTATGGGTGGGTAAATCTGAAATCAACTATACCACCAAAAAAATCTAATAAAAACAGGCTGGTGTAAAACAATTAAACAATTCAAATCCAGTCCATGACAGTGTTGTTACTGTCAACTAAAACTATTCAAAATCATTTTTGTTAACTGAAATAAAGCTAAAATAAAATTACATTTAAATCTAATATTAAGATAAAAAGTTTAAGAATTTGAAAAAATGAAAATGGTAAATGTCTCTTTGGCAACTAATCACTGAATTTTTAAAATGACAGAAATATAAGTATATATAATATAAGAAATATAAATAAGGTTATTTAGAAATAGTAAACAAATACATTAATTAATTAATTAATTAATTACAAAAGCACATAATAAAATTATTAAAACTCATCATAAAAATTTTAATGAAAACTGCAAATATAAAAGGCAAGTCAAAATATGAATAAATACTATAAAGATATATAAATAATAATAATAATTTATAGCACTTGTATATCATTGCTCTTTTGTTGATTTTGATTGCTTCCATTGTCCTCATTTGTAATTCGCTTTGGATAAAAGTGTCTGCTAAATGACTAGATGTAATGTAAAAAAAATTATACAAATTAACATTGGTCCATAAATGACCATAAATTATCAGAATTTCTCTTAAAAGGTGACTAAATACAGATTTTATATATATATATAAAAAAATATATATAAAAGGGCTGGGCAAGTTAACACGTTATTATTGCGTCAACGCATTAAAGGTGGGGTAAGCGATTTTTCAAAAACACTTTAGAAAACGGATTCAGGCCGACTAGCAAAACAAACTTGTAGCCAATCAGCAGTAAGGGGCTTGTCTTCTCATGATGTGGAGGAGAGAGCATTCAGTGCACATGACAGACATTAGCCGAGCCGAGCAACAGAAAGATAGAGATGGCGGATAAAAAACAAAAGAGGAAAACGTCTGTGGAACAAAAGAAGGCTTAAGGCAATAAGGCAAGAAGTAGGACCCATGTAAATATCGGATCAGCTTTACAGCGCTGGAGAGAACTCAAGGAGCGGAAGGCCTGCTAAAGTCTGTCTAGTACACTGGACGCGACAAAGCGACCGTTGAAAATCATTTGAAATTTGTGTCAATACGTCATGAATAGAACGCAGCAGTAGTTTTCTGTCGGGGATTTGTCGTGCCGCATCCAGTGTAGACCATATATATATATATATCTATGGTGTAGACAGCATCACTGATTATAATGAGTTCCATAGTATTTTGTCGCGCACGCTACACTGTAGACTGTAGACAAGGTTGTAACATTGGTTTTGCTTTGTTTCACAAAACGAATCGTTGCCTGGGTTGCTTACGTATGTGTGGGGCGGAGCTATCAAAATAGGGGCGGATGGGTGTCATCACACGTCTCACGTGTCTCAACCATTTGGGGTGGGTCTAAGACTGCAGCAGCGCTCACATGAATGCTCCCGATCAAATTATTTTGGGATGTGGTAACACATGGCCCTCTCTCACAATATATTGCTTTACAGATCTATCACTCTTGCTGCTCAGAAATGTTCACGCAACGTATCATAAGTTCCGCGCTCCGGCGCGGTTAGCGCTCATACTCACTGATCTATAACTGAACCGTGGTCTGGCCCACCTCTTCCAACTGAGCCAGGGACGGCTAAACGAACCATACCCGAGCACGGCACGGAGCGATCACACTAGTCAAACGCGCTAGGGCACGGTTAAGATTGCCTAGTGTGAGTACACTCTTATTCTCCCGCATCCCGCACAAACGAGTGTCTACACGCCCGCACCCGCACTCGCGGGTTGTCCCGTGCCACACTCTGCTGCGTTAGGATAGTGCAGGTCTCTAAGGTTCCTGTTATAATGTTATGATGGAGGCTCTGGACTGAAAATAAGTATTTGGTCACCTACAAACAAGCAAGATTTCTG